AAGGGGAAAGCAGCACCATTGCAGGGAAAAAAAAAATAAATCAAGAGCAGGGAAAGGTCTCCAAAGAGCATCTAGTCCCAGCCCTGACACCCAAATCCCTCTTGCAGGTCTCCAGGAAAGGACGCTGTGGCAGCACCGGTGCAGCTCAGCACCCCGCTGCCGCGTTGGCAGGGGGATGCCCGTCCCCGCAGCTCCTTCGCCCGGGAGCAAGTGTAGCGGGGCCTCCCCAGGAACAGATGGCGAGTTGTTTGAACCTCAGGGCCGTGCAATACAAAACGGGCACAAAGTGGAGCACGGAGCTCGGGAGCTGCGCGGCTGAGGCTTATTTACTGAAAGGAGGCCAGAAGGAGAGGGCGGGAGGGGAGGAGGAGGGGGCTGTGCCTTCGGCGAGCAACGGAACGCGGGGAGCTTGCGGCTCCTTCGCAGTACCCGCTCGGCTGATGGGGGCAATCAGTGCCGTGGTGATTGTAGCCCATCTGGCCACCGCGGTCACCACGTCCATCCAGAGGCATCCGCTCGCATGCTCAGCGGTGGAGCGAACGCCAAAAGCAGGGGGGGAGTGTTACCTTCGCGGAGAGAGAGTCCCTGCAGTCACCAGCGCTTTGTAAGGATGTTATAAATACTTATTCCAGGAAGGGGAGCAAAAAGCTGATGCATCTCACTGCTCCGTGCAGCTCGTGCGCCCCAGCACAGTGTCAGCCTCTCCGTGCCCCTGAGCTCCGGGGTTTGGAGCAATGAGGGGAGAAAAAAAAGAAAAGAAGAAAAGAAAAAAAAAATAGAAAGAATCCTTGTCGATGTGATCTCAGCAAGTGGAGTTCCACATGGCCAGCATGGAGCAAACCCTTGCTGACAAATGAAAGGTAGCTGGGCTTCATCTGACCGAGCAGCAGGGGTCAAGGATGAAGGAAGGACCCTTCACGCGCTGCCAACCGTGACAAAAGGGACAGAGAAGAAACCAACACACCGTAAAGTAACGAGGCAGGGCACTCACTGAGACTGTGGGGACCCTGTTGACTATGGGGCGTCCACCACATCCATAAAAGAGACACAGTCCACTGCAAGCTGCCACCCAGGTGTGCCCACAGTCAGTCATCCGAGCCTGGACAGCCAGGGCAGGATCCCGCCACCCGGCCCGATGCCTCCACGGGCATCACAACCCCACAGCAAACATGAGTTCGGCTGCGTGTGTCAAACACGGGCTCAGCCGGCGGCACCCGGCGCCGCCACACCACCCGCACGTCGCTCCCATCCCCAGCATGACACAGCCGCGTTGCCAGTGCCCAGCACCGGCTCCTCCCAACACGGCACAGTTTTAGAGGCGACAGGATCATCCTTTCCTAGGGAGAAGCTTGTCAAACCGCCTTCTCTCCCAGCCCTGGTTTCCAGGAGATAAATCCACCAGGGCTACTGAGCTCATGTCTTCATCACCGCATTGAGGGTTTCTCCAGCCGGGCAGAGGTGGGGAGACCCACCACGAGGTTTGGCACAACGCTGTGATCTCAATCTCCCCCGTCCTACAGCGAGGGCTTCGGCAGCATAACAGCCCCAGGAAGGAGCTGAAGCAGAGGGAGCACGAGGCTCCGCAGCCTCCGCAAAATCAGCTTCCATCTCCGGCAGCGATCTGAGGACGCAGCTGAAGGTCACCGTACCTTCGTAAAGCACAGTACATGTTCCCGACACACACCTCCCTCCTGTCCACCCCCATACGCTATTTTGAAAGTGATTTGCTCTCCTTATGGCTCCCCTCTTCGTTTGCCCGTCCCCCACGAAACAATTCACACCGATAGCTTTTCTTCCTTCCTTCCTTCTTGCTGGCACAAATCGTGGTGGGAAAATATGTTGTTTCGCTTAAAAATTACAACAACAACAACAAAGTCATCAACTGAATAATATGAGCGATGTTTGGGTAAAAGAAAAAAAAAAAACAGAGATGGGAAGCAGCAGCACTCGTTCCAGCCCTCACACAACTCCCGGTGCAGCCAGGAGAGCTGTACCTGTCCCAGACCCACAGGCCGGGTATGGGTGGCTGTTCTGGGGAGATACCAAAACTAATATCTCACCAGCTTCAGTGGCCAGGAGGGATTCTCCAAAACACAGTCCCAGGCTCGGATCAGCACAACCACCCACAACCCTTATTTGAGAGACGCACTCATTGCACATCTCCACCTCCACCGGTTGCACTCGAGTGGTGTCTCCACCATCCCAGGACATCCTCGAGGGTCCAGCACAAGGGATAAGGAACTGTAAAACCCCTTCAACTGTGCAACCTGCTTTCTGCCAGCAGAGACTGGGAAGGTGAGATGGAGCTGGTGGCAATGGAAGTACCCCAAAGCCCTTGGAAACAAGCCCTCAACCTTGCTGAGATATCTTAGGGTCTTCAGATGTGGCCTTGGAGGACCCCAATTGAGCAACTGGGCCACACACTGGAGAACTGCCCTCAGCCTAAGCCAAGGCTCCTGCAGCCCACCATACATCCATCCAGAACCCAGCAGCCCTGCTGGACACTGTGTCAGACACCAGTGGAGCAGGGGAAGGGCAGCATCTCCTCACCAAACCAGGCTCAATGCCTCATACTGCCCTGGAGCAGTTAGGCCAGCTGGTCAGCCCCAGGGCTCAGGTTTTGCAGCGTATTAGAACAGAGTGGTGAGGCTTAAGGTCTGCAAAGGTGCCACCTTCCCCGAGTCTCCCGGACTTTGGTGTTTGCCTTAAAGTTTCAGTCCCTGGAGCCATGACGGTCCCTGTGCTCCTCACACAACATCCGCACTCCTACAGCTGCAAGGAGAAGACTGGGAAGGCAACAGCAGCTTCTATCAGAGCTTCTCGTGCTAGTTATTGAGTAAAAATACATTTTTAATAAATGCAGTTTTTTAAGCACCTGATTTTCCCATCCCTCTCTGATTTCTGAGTGTCAGAGGGCAAGTTATCGATTCCTCAACATTACCAGTGGTTAAAATGCTCCTGGAGTTTTGGAGAGAGAAGTAACTTGCAGAGCAGCTGCTCACCTGCGCATGCTGCTTCGCTGGAATAAAAGCGTTT